AACATCATCATCATCATGATCATCATCGTCGTCGTCGTTGTCGACGTCGCCATCGTCACCATCATCATCGTCTCGTCATCAACCTCTTCCACCTCGTCCTTTTCATCCTCCTGCCCCCCTCATCCTTTTTTCTCCTCCTCCTCCGCTTCTTAGTTTTCCCCCGTGTGCCCCCTGACGGGTTTCCACAACGGCTGAGGAAACGCACGGTCCGATAGCTTGGCAGAGCTCCGGCCACACCGTTCGGCCACATAGGCGATTCCACAAGGCAGGGGCAGGCGGTGATTCGCCGTAGGCGTCTTCGATCCGCCGCCCCCTGAGGCATTGCCACAGGGGTTCGCAGCGTGCCATGCGTTAGGTTGCTGTGGTCCTTTTTATAAGACAGGGGATTGTGGGGTATGTGGTTTGTTGTACCATTCTTCACTTGTCTTTGCTTTCTTCTTCGCTCTGCTTCCTGTTCGTGTGTATGTGTGTGTGTGTGTGCTGTTGGTGGTGGTGGTGGTGGTGGTGTGTGTGTTGTATTATGTTGTGTGTTGTGTGTGTATGTGAAAGAGATGATTCCTCTTCCCGCCCCCCCCCCCCCCACAGAAGAAACTGAAGACGACAATACATCAGGACGCCCGCCTCGCTTTGTTTCTTTCTTTTGTTGGGGGGGGGGAAGGGGGGGGGAGAGGAACGATCCCGCCCAGACAGACACAAGCGCACACCGCCACCCACTCTCCCTCCTCTCCCAACTCCTGTGGTTTTTCTCCGATTCCCGCCCCATCCACCCAAAGAAAACAATTTGGAAGCCCGCCTCGTTTGTCTCTTGAGGGTGGTGGAAGAGGTCCCTCCCACACGACCTCCTCCCCCTCCTCCTGCCTACTCCCTGTGCCGCCTCCCCCTCGCTCTACCGCCCCCGTCCTCGTCCTCCTCCTTCCTCGCTCCACCACTCCCTCCTCCTCCCGGCTCCAGGGTGCTCGCGCTGTTGCCGCACGGATCCTTTTTGTTGAAAAGAATAACAAAAACCAAAACCTCACACAGATGAATACTCACCCAATGGGTCCTTACTGAGGATCCCAAGGTAAACCATCCGTATTGACGAATGGTTGCCCAACACAGCATCGCCAAAAACTCCTCACTAAAAAACTGTCGCTCCGTAGGTTCCCTTGATTCAGGCAATCCTTGCGAGAGACTGTGTGCCAAACTTTGTCTTTGCCAAGGGCCGCGCACTAGGCGGAATAGGGCTGAACAGGGCTTAGCAGAGCCTAGCGGGGCTGAGCAGAGCGTGGCAAATTTGAACCAGGCTTAAAGGCCGATCACGGTTTACCAGGCCTAGCAAGGCTGAGCAGGGCTGAGCAAAGCCTGCCAGGGCTCAGCCGGGCGTGTCAAGACTCGGCAGGGCTTCGCAGAGCTTGCCAAGGCATGCCGCTGGCTAGCAGTCCCCAATAGGGCTTAGCAGGGCTTGCCAAGGGCTGAGGAGGGCTTACGACGGCTTAGCAAGGCTTACCAAGTCTCAGCAGGCTTAGCAGGGCTCAACACAACTCAGAAGGGCTTACCACTTCGTGGCGAACAGCCGGGCTTAGCAAAGCTTGCCAAGGCAGGGCAAGGCCCAGCAAGGCTTCGCAGGGCTTAGCAAGGCTTGCCAAGCTTCGCTGGGTTTCGCGAAGCTTACCAAGCTCAGCAGGGCATGCGAAGCTGACCAGTGCTCAGCAGGGCTTACAAGGACAGGTCTTAGCAGTGGTTGGCATGCCTCAGTAGGGCTTAGCAGGGTTTAGCAAGGCTTGCCATCACTTAGCAATATTTGCCAGGCCTTTGCAGGGCCCAGCAGGGCTCAGCAAGACCCAGCAGGGCTTGAGACTTTAAACAGGATTAGCACTGTTGCGCAAAGCTTGCCAATGCTGAGCACGGATTAGCAGGGCTTAGCACAGCTTACCAAGGCTGAGCATGGCTCAGCAAGGCTTTGCAGGGCGTAGCACACTTTACCAAGGCTGACCAAGGCTTAGCAAGGCTTGCCAGGCGCGGGAGGGCTCAGCAGAGCCGAGCAGGGTTTATCAAAACATGCCATGGACCAGCAGGGCGTACCAGGACTTAGCAGGGCTTTGCAGAGCTTGCCAAGGCTTAGCAGTGGCTGGTCGGCCATAGTAGGGTTCAGCGGGGCTTACCAGGGCTTAGCAAGACTTACCAAGTACTGGCAGGGACCAGGAAAGCCCTGCAGGGCTCAAGGCTTGACAGAGATGAGCATGGCTGAGCAAAGCTTGTCAAGGCTTGGCAGAGATGAGATGAGCATGGCTGAGCAAGGCTTAGCACGGCTTAACAGAGCTTAGCACAGCTTACCAAGACTGAGCAAGGTTTACCATGGTTTACTTAACACAACTTAGCAATTCTTACAAAGACTTCGTACGGCTTACCAAGGCTTAGCAGGACGTGGCAGAGCTTACCATGTCTGAACAGGGCATGGCAAGACCTATCAAGGCTTAGGGGCTAACAAGGTTTTCCAAGGCTTACACGGTTTAGCAAAGCTTAGCAAAGCTGAGCTTCCGCAGGCCGTGCCGCAATGCGCACCCCAACCGCCAAGATACCCCCAGGAAATTTGAAGAACCACACACAACTGCACCCCCGAGCATGGCCACGCCTGCTGGCAATGAGCTGGACTTTCGAGGACCCTGCTCGGGGGGGGGGGGGGCATTTTGTTCTGTCGATTGGCAGCTCTCCTAGATGTCCGCAGGTCGTGAATGTATCGCCCACGACACTCCCATCTGCGTACCGATGCTGAAGAGGGGGTTATATTAATGAGGGGAATAAGGAGGAGGAATCAGATGCGGAGACCAAGATGCGCGAAAGCCTGCACGTCTCGTGTGACAGACCGCATGCTCCACAATCCCCTGGCCCTCCTGCCTAAACATTCCCAAGGGTCTCGGCCCAACCCGCTGGCCGCACGGAAGGACTCTTGAAAAAGCCCAACGCCCATAACCCATTGCCTCAATACTGTCGAGATGGCCCACGGTGGCTACCAAGACGCCTCCAAGGCGGCCAACATGGCCCCAAGAGGGCCAAGTGTTGTCCCAAGATGCGCCCAAGGCGGTCCAAGATGCATCCAACACGCTCCAAGACCGCCTCAAGTTAGCCCAAGACGGCCCAAGAGACCCCCCAAGAGGGCTCCAAGCGGATCCCCAGAAGGCCCAACATAGTGGGCGTTCAATGATTTTTACGTTCTCGCCTTTTCGGGTCTCCGCCGCTCGAAGACCCCAACACGGCCTTCGACAACCCAATAGGTCCCTTTAGAGGCCGTCGGAGGCCTCCAAGAGGCCCCAGGAGGCACCAAAGAGGCCCCCCCAGAGGCCAGAGGCCCCCAAGAGCTCCCAGGAATCCCCCCAGGAGGCCCAAAGAGGGCCTGTTCTTCTTCTTCCTCCTCCTCCTGATCATCCTTCTCCTAGTACTCCTTCTCCTCCTCTTCCTCGCCCAAGTGTTCCCCCAAGGGGTTCCACAACGCCTGGGGAAACACATAGTTCTGGAGCTCGGTCAGACTTTGGCCCAACGTTTGGCCGCAGGGGCGTTTCCAACAGGCAGGGGGCGGAGGCGGTTCGCCGTAGGCGTCTTCGAGATGGAAAGACACGGCGGCGATATGTAGTACTCGTGTACAAGGAAAGCGGCACCAACCATTCTCTACAACTACACAATGAATACGACTCGACCCCCTCCCCCGAAGACTTGCTGAGAATGGCACGTTCCCCTCCGCGTTTTGTGTTTAGCACAAGATGCAGACGAATCGATTGTCTCATGTGCTTTTCCAATCCGAGCGTTCCTGGTCCTTCCAACATGGTACCCCCGCTGCAACGTTGGCCTCATTCTAGGATCGGCGCTTTGCTCCCGTCGTTCAAAAGGCCCTCTCGCCCCAACACGGGCCGCTTTTCTGGATCCGAGTGCTTACTCGCGGTGCCCCCTCCTTCCCCTGGTCCTCCTGGCTCCTGCTGCTGGGATTCCTCCTCGTCCTCCTTCTCGTCCTCCTGCTCATCCTCCTGCTCATCCGCCACCTCCTTTAATGTACAAATCTCCCTTTTTCAAATTGCGAGTGGCACGATGGAATTGCTTGAGTGTTCCAGGTCCGCTACGACACCAGTCGGCGGACAGAAAACATCAGCGACATGGGAAGGGACGAGGAGGGGTAGAATGCCACACGTGGCGTGGGCACAACTAGCTTGATATGAACACTACTCTCGTCTCTCCCCAGACACTGTCCGGAAGATGTTCCGCCCTCTCCGCGTACCGTCTTCGTAAACCATCAGGAGCTGCTTACTTTGCCCTTCCTATGTTTGTTGTTCAGTCGGCGCGTTTTCGGTGTCTCACCATGGTGTTCCAGCTGCAGCGTGGGCCTCATTTTGGGGTCGGCGCTTTGCTACCGTCGTTCAGCCGTCGTTCAGCATGGCGCTCTCGTCCCTCACGCGGGCAACCAACTCTTTTGGATCCCACTGCTGCCTCGTCGTTGTTGCCCCACGAACTCTTTCCCTCCTCCGCCTTCCCCTAATCATCCTGCTCTTCCCGCATCTCCCAATCTTGCTTGTGCTGCTCCTGCTCCTTTTCGTTCTCCTCCTCTTCCTCCTTCTTTTCTCATTGCTTATCCTCCTGTTCATCCGCCACCTCCTCCTGCTCCACTGTACGCAACTCCCTATTCGCGCATGACACGATGGGGTCCTCTGATGGGGTTCCAGGTACGCTGTGGCACCCGTCGGCGGATAGAGAAACAACTCAGCGCAGTGGGAAGGGTGAGAGGGGTACGATGTCAGATGTGGCTTGAACGACCCTAGCATGTCCCCACCCTCTCCCTTCTGCCTTTCCCCTTCCTCATCCTCACTTGCGGAAGAGCCGGTCGGAGGGCTGGCGAACCCCCTGGGATGGAGAGACGCGGGGAACATCGAACCATCGAGTCCCTTACGAGACCAAAGTGGACCGAATCCTACGTCTCGAATCTCATCATCTCATATAACGTGGCTGTGAGGGTGGGGGCTCATTGTCAGCCGCGCGTCCCCGCTGAACGCCATCTTGCGGCAGCCGGTGTCCTTGTCCTCCACGCGGAAAGAGATGACGAGGCCCTCGTCCGTCTCGGCCACCTGGCACTCCGACGAGCCGATGCGCGAGTTGACCATGCCTCCCAAATGCCAGGTGTCACCACCGTCGTCGGAATAGAAGACTCCAGAGCGGTCGCCGGCCCAGACGTACAAAGGCAAGTCGGTGGTGCCGTTGTACCACTTGGACTTCAGAATCCCCATTTCTGGGTCCAACGGGTTCTCGATTTCCACCCTGACGTCCTGATGGTGGTTGTTGTAGTAGCGGGCGCACTCGCCTATCTCAGCGCAACCCTGTCGGTGGTGGACCTTCTTCACCAACGCGTCCGCGAAGAAACTGTTGAACGGAACCTGAGAGCAACCCCTCTCACCGTAGCAACAACACACATCCGCAAACTTCAAAGGAGCCCTCGGAGGCACAGCTAAATATACACAATTCCTAGGATCCCTTATCTTTCTAATATTTTCTGGATGTTTGTCTTCCCCTCCACTGCCATATTTTGCCATATTTCCTCAGAATATACGTCTATTTTTTTCGCCTGTGTCTAGTCTTCCCTCCTGCTGATGAGTTGTCCCCACAACAAACAAAGATCGCGCTGCGCGATCAATGCTCTTACATGGCATATTGTACTCAATGCGCGTCGGATCACCACAATCCCGTGGAGTTCCGGACTTTGCTGGCCCTTGGGAGCCACAATGCGCCCCTTGTGCTCGCCTCTGCGCAGCTGGATAGCATGCCCTGGGCCCGTGGCAACCCAGCCCCAGCCAGGGCGCTTCACCTGGGATCAGGGAGAAATCACTTGCCAGTCGAGGCTCATCAACGCTTTGTCTGCCACTTAATGATGAATCCATCAGGTCAGCGCAGGTCGCCCATTTCCTGACCTGTCCCGCGAATCCCAGATCTCCAATATATATATATATATATATACATATATACACATACGAATATATCTATATATATATATACACATACGGTTGGTGCTTGCCGTTTGCTAGCTCTAATTCCCCTTTGTCCCCTCCAAAACATGGTCGCGAGTCCGCCGGCCGGCAACAACGCGCGGGCACCAGTGCCGCACCAGCTGCGGCGCTGACAGTGTGCCCAAAACGGTGATTACCCAAGAAAGGCGCCGTCTCACTCGCAAATCTCTCCTGGAGGGAATGGAATTAGGGACCTCGGATAATGAGACCTGGAAGACAGGACAAAAACATGTCTTGAGCGCGAAAACGTGGCGAGCTCACGGGGTGGCTTAACCGGGCCGCCAACAAGGCACGCTACATTGGAAACGAAGGCGCTTACGCGCTACCGTACGCGGGCAACTTGCGCGCGAAGGTCCGCGCTGCGGAACCGTTTTCCTGCGTCGCTCACCCGGCAATGCACCGCTTGTGTGGGAGGGTCGGGCCGGATTCTTCTGACTCCGAGGTCCACGCCTCAGTCACTCTCAGCCAGCTGTCTCTCACAGGCCCCTCTCGCCATGCTGCTGAACTTCCGGGGCTTGCTCCACGTCCTGCCCTTGTCGTCGCTGGACTGCACGTAGAGGTCCAGGTTGTTCCAGTTCCAGATCAGGAGCAGCTTGCCCGTCTTCTCGCAGTACACCGGGCTCGGGTTGCCGCGCGCCACGTCCCCGGGGCCGCCGGCCACGACCTCGCGAAGGGACCCCCAAACGCCGGGCTGCCGGCCGTCGGCCGGCTGCCAGGCGAGGCCCGAGGCCGGGGCAGCCCACGAGGGAAGGAGGCGGAGAAGCAGCGACAGAACTCGTGTCCGTGGGCCAGTCCTTCGAAGCAGTCGCCTTTTCGGGCCTCAGGAAGTCCAAGACGACCCAAGAGGTCCACAAGAGGGCTCCAAGACGGCGCAAGGAGGCTCAAAGACAGCCAGGAAAGGCCCCCAAGGCAGTCCAAGAGGGCCTCAAGAGGCCCTCAGGACGGCCCCAAATCTCCAGAAAGCCGCAGGAGGGGTCGTAGAGGGGGAACTCGAGCAGGCCTGGGGAGCTCTTCCTTCTAAGATTGCCTCCCAGACCTTCAGAGTGGGGGCAGGGGGCCCCCAGAGGCTCCGAAGTCGCCACCTGGAGGCCCTAAGAGGCTCCCGAAAGGCTTCTCCAGTATGGCCCTCAGAGGTCCCCAATAGACCCTCTGGAGGCCCCAGAGAAGCCTCCAAGATTATAAGCTTCCTAGATGGGGTCGGAGTAGACCGGGTCGGAGGAACGCGCCGCATCTCCGATACACCGGCGTTGCACCGTCGATGCCTCGGCGACGTCGGCGGTGCATCGGCGACGTCGGCGTGGAGACATCGGGCTCCGCATCGAGCCGCTCGTCGATGCATCGGCGATGCAAACCTGCCCGTAATGAAAAAGAGATGCAACGCCGGGATCTCGGGGAAGTCAGGCAGTGGAAGGCTGGGCAGAAATCCGCAAGCTTCGAGTCGTTAGGACCTGTATTGGGCCCCATTGCTCACCGTCGTTCGTGCTCCGCTTCATGATGATGTCGATGTGCCCGGCGTCGCTGCCGCTCGACCTGCCGCAGGCTGGAAAGGGATCCCGATCCTTGGCGCCAAATTCTCTCTTAACTTCGCGCGCAATTGAAACCAAGGAAGCGTCGCGGGTGTGGAACAGAGTGCCGCTTCTCAACGCCCACGGCCTTCCCTCGATGAAGGCGAGCACCTCGCTACCGCCAACGTGCACCAGCGCAGGTATGCGCTGGGCTCGCCTTGGGAAACAACCTGTGCATCCCTTCGCCAATCCTTGCCGGGCAGGCGCTGCGCAGCACTTGGATCCTCACTGCTAGCCGCAACTGCGATGCACACTTCTCCGAAGTGTGCTCGGCTGGCCATGCCCGTGGCAAAGCCGGCCATGAACACGGTGCATCTTGGCAAAGTAACGAGAAGCGACCGTCAAAGAGTACGCCCTCCTGGCCAAGGCCAGATGAGCCTGGATGGCCCTGGCACGGCATGGTGGTACATGAAACGGCTATCGGCCCCTCGACTTGTGGAGCAGCTAGGAGAGGCACCGCACGCCGAGGGGAATCGTGGAGTGTAGGTCTTCGAGCAGAAGATCGACTGCAGAGTGTGATCGTTTTCGTATGTATTGTTTTGCCGATCGGCGCGGGCCCTCGCCCTCCCCCTCCCTCCCCCCCGATGGAGTAGATCTTGCCTGTTTTTGTCGCCTGTTTCAGACAGGTGGAGTCTCCCCAGTGGGACGCACCGCTGCAAGCAGTCGCACTAAGCAAAGGTCAGGAGCCAGACCCCCCCCCCTGTCCGCCCAATGTCGAAACGCCCAATAAGAGAACGTTGACACTTGATTTACTCTGTTTGCGACGCCTCTGCACGGTGGGCCGTCTGAGCCCCAAGGCTAGTGCATCTGGACAAATCGATGCCCATATCAGGATGCATACTATGGCCTTGCAAGGCGATACATTACAATCACAACTTCGTGAAGTGTAGCGGAATGGCAATTGGCCCCGCCGACCCCAGGATCCAAGACTGACTGGCTCCCGGCTGGACACCACTAGACGCGCGGGCGCGAGCCACGGCATCGGGGGGGATCGGTACGAGCCCATAGCTGGAGGTGTAACGAAGTGCCCGTGCTCACTGGCGAGACCCTGCTGGAGTACACGCGATACGACGGGACAATGGAGGCTCGTCCCTTCGGGCGCACCCGCCGAGAATTCACCCTGGACGTGACAGAACCTGCTCGGGTTCGACGGCGCCGCGTCTTGGCGAAGAAAGGCCAGAGTGGGTTATCCAGCAGAGAATGGCGCCCCCGACACATAACACAAACACACAACACATAGTCGATGTTGCTCCGAAGGCGAGCCCAGGGGATGCGATACACATTGTAGCCGCCCTCGTGGTTCGCGAACACCCTCCTCGGCGATATGCTGGTGTGGATGGACAGAGGAGGTGGCTGGATCCGTGGCTCCTCGCCTGCGGAGCCCGGTCAAGAATGGTGCTTCCCTTGCCCCCCCCCCGCTGGGAAGGATGATGATGATGGAGTGAAGCATCGGGGGCCTGGAAATGGGCATCGCCACCAACACGGGGGGGGGGCCTCCACCAGGGGGAGATGATTCTGGATGCTGGTGCTGGTGACAAGCTCTCGGCCGCCTGGGAGGCCCGAGCGTCACCACCATCACCGAGAGCAGGATCGCCTCTGCCCCACGGAGGCGACCGCCGAGCTTCGTGCGGATGCCAAGCCCCAGGCCGCCGATGGGGAAGACGGGGAGGCAGCGGGGCGGAGCGGCGAGGGAGGAGGCGGAGATGAGCACGGGGATGAGGAGGAGAGGGGAGTGGATGGAGGCCGGTGATGGACCACGAGGTCGCAGGATTAAGTCGGGCCTGTCCCCCAACAGGGGGATCGTCGACGAACAAACAAAAAGTACCCCAACAACGAACCAAAAATAGTCCAAAAATAGTCAGGGGATTGTTTTTGAGTATTGTTTTACCTTTTTGGGGTATGTTTGGGGTATTCTTAACCTTTCGTCGAACATCCCCCTGTAGGGGGACACGCCCGACATAATCGTAGGAGCAGTATTGGGGAGGAACGAGGGGGGCGGCGTCTGCGCGCGCCCCCCGCTTGATATTCCCCTTCTCGGCTACACGCACGAGTGACCCTGGGTACAGTCATATCGGCCTGACCCAAGGAACGATACACAAGGAACGACGCAGCCCCTTTTCCCAGGGAGCAACGCACAAGGAGCGATACATGAGAAACAACGCGTGAGGAAGGATACGTAACGCATGCAAGCCTGAGGAAGGACCGAGCCCCTTTTGAAACGTAGGAGTTCCTTATTCAAGCCGCTCACGCTAAGAGTGACCTCTGATGCGCGGCTTTGGGGGAGCCGCGGGGGGCCAAACCCAAGCGCGCAAGACGCAACTATCGCACCGCACTCGGCGACTGGGGGCCCCAATAGGCCCGCACCAGCGGTCACTCCGGCGAAAGGTCACTCTTACGTGTAGTCGGCCCTTCGCCAATGCCCATGCCGAGCTCGCGCCCGGGCGCCGGCGCCTCTCGCACAAGCAGCACCCAGAGGTCGAAGTCATTACTGTTCAGGCAACTGGGGACGCTCAGCTGCCTGCGCATGTAGCACGTGCCGTACGGGTGCCCTCTCTGCACGATGACGCCGGAACAGGCTGCGGAGGACGCCGAATTGCGCCCGCCCCTTGCCCAAAATGGGGAATGTCGCGCGGGATTTCAAAACCCGACAGTCGAATCAGGTCAGAGGACGTGGACACAGCCATACGATCTCTTTTTCCCAACCATCACGTGGTGTTGGGTCCCCGTCTTGACGAAATAACGCTCCGCGTCTCACCTCCTCACTCCCCCTCCCCCTCCTCCCGCTACTCCCTCCTCCCATTCCTGCCTTGGCCCTCCGCACCAGTCAACCATTTCGGCACACCCCTCACACGCTTCGTGGCCCCACAGGGAGCTTCACCGACGGCCTCAGTGGCGGTGTTCGCATGCGTCTCCCCCAACCAGCACAACGCTTCGCGGCCCCATACGGAGCACCAGCGACTTGTCATGCGTCTCCCCCACCCTCCACCGACGGCCCCAGTGGCGGTGTTCGCCTACGTCTCCCCCACCGAATACAACGTTTCGTGGCTCCATAGGGTGGCGGTGTTCGCATGCGTCTCCTCCACCCAGTACAACGTTTCGTGGTCTCATAGGGAGTTCCACCGAAGGCCTCAGTGGCGGTGTTCGCATGCGTCTCCCCTGCACAATACAGCGTTCAGTGGCCCCATAGGGAGCTCCACCGAAGGCCCCAGTGGCGGGGAGCTCCACCGAAGGCTTCAGAGACGATGTTCGCATGCGCCTCCCCCAATCAGTACAGCGTTTCGTGGTCCCATACGGAGCACCACCGACGGCCCTAGTGGCGGTGTTCGCATGCGTCTCCCTCAGCCAATACAACGCTTCGTGGCCCCATACGGAGCACCACCGAAGGCCCCAGTGGCGGTGTTCGCATGCGTCTCCCCCACCCAGTACAAAGTTTCGTGGCCCCACAGGGGGCTCCACCGACGGCCTCGGTGGCGGTGTCCGCATGCGTCTCCCCCACCCAATACACCCATAGGAAGCTCCACCGAAGGCCCCAGTGGCGGTGTTCGCATGCGTCGCCCACGCTCAGTACAGCGTTTCGTTGCCCCATGCCCCAGTGGCGGCCCCGCCCCATTGCGGCGCACCCCTCACACGTTTCGCGGCCCCATGGTGGGTTTCACCTGAAGCCCCAGTGGCAGCGCCCACATGGCTGCCCCGCCCTATATCGGCACATCCTTCGCACGCTTCATGGCCTCATGAGGAGATCCCCCGAAGGCCGATACCCGCAACGACGGTTCTCACAACTGCATATGGTTGGGTCCTTCGCCAAAATAATTTTCAACACGGGGCCCCTGAAGCCCCGACCGATTCCTCAAGGCCGGTTTTTCCATCCCGACTCGTTACTTGGCGGTCCTGGCCCCTGAAGGCAGAAAACGACCAGCAAAACTCCCACTTTGTTTTTGTTGGAGGCGCGAGGGAAGAACACCAGACAGGTGGTCAGGATTTGGTGGTCTCCCGGCCTGGGTTGGCGTTGCACAGCGCCCTGCACTGGTCGTGCCCCAGCTTCCCAGGAGCGGGGTTTCCGCCTGGGATGGCGGCGCCGGCGCCATGCCCACTGAAGCAGTTCTTGCTCTCGTGGAGCTGCCACTCTGCAGCTGCCAAGCGCGCGAGGATCCGCCACCGCGCTTGCAGCGGTTGAGGTGTGTCGGGCCCTTCCTTGTTTCGTTATCCCGCTTCTCGAGATGGAATTGTTGAGGCCTCCCGACGCATCTAACCCAACATCCTTTGATCTGTTGCACCACGCCCCTGCGTTTTTCGCCTTCCGGTAACCATTCCGAAAACGCAGGGCCGGATAGCTGGGTCCAGCGGCCCCTCCTCCCTTGGGCCCTTGGGCGCGCCCCCCCCCTCCCCCAAACGCCCTGGCCCCCCCAGGCGTCTCCCTGGCGCCCGCCCGAGCGGGGCGGCGGCATCGCGCGGCAGCGCACCTGCATTACCAAAGACCATGGGGATCGGCTGACTTGCTTCATCGTGGGACCCGCGCGCGCGAGCTGCACGATGGCGCCTCGATGTCAACGGTGGCTCTCAGGGGGCAGATCCACGTTCAAACGCTTGAGCCCACCACGCAGGGTAGCAGAAGATCTCTGGAACATGTGAGAATCGGAGGTTGGGGGTGAGATTGAAGTGAAATGGAGACCTCCTACTGGGAAATCGGTTTCGGCTTCATGTCGTGCGTGCGCGGCCAGACTACGTGGGCGGGCGAGCGGAATGACCTCGCCGTTGCTAGGGCGAGACCAGGCCAAATGTTGACCCCCCCAGTTGGCGCGGTGGCCCAGGGCGTCCCCATTGTGTCCACATGGTGCCCCGATTGTGTCCCGAAAATGTACTGATGGTGTCCCGATGATGTCTCGATGGTGTCTCGATGTTCCGATAGTGTCCCGATGGTGTCCCGATGGTGCCCCGATGTTGTTCCGATGGTGTTGCGATGGTGTCCCGATGCTGTTCCGATGTTGTCCCCATGGTGCCCCGATTGTGCCCCGATGGTGTCCCAATGGTGCCCCGATGCTGTTCCGCTGATGTTCCGATGATGGTGTTGCGACGGTGGTGTTCCGACGCTGTCCCGATGATGTCCCGATGGTGCCCCGATGGTGTCCAGATGGTGTCCCGATGGTGCCCACGTGGTCGTCATCATGCATCGCCACCAGCATCGCCACCATGTATCGTCGCCAGCTCGCTGGCGCATCACTAGCATCATCACCATCACAATCATGGCAGTTGCCATAAGTTGGTTCTCCTCGCACAACCTCCTTATCATTTCAGGGGTGGCCAGAAAGGTATGTATTATCATGGGGGCCGCAAAGTTTTGGTTATTTGTAGTGCTTATGCATGAACTGTCCACCGCGCGCGCGCGCGCGTGTGTGTGTGTGTGTGTGTGTGTGTGTGTGTGAGTGTGTGTATGTGTGTGCGCGTGTGCGTGTGCGTGGGCGTGTACGTAAAAGAGAGAGGGAGAGAGAGAGAGAGAGAGGGAGAAAGGGAACAAAATCAGCAACAAAAAACAACATGTGTCGCGTGTGAGTGAGTTATGCCAGGCGGGGTGGGGCTATCCCCCGCGCGAACCGCGCTGATCTGGGCCTCGTGTGACCCTGCGGGGCCCGCCCCGGCTTCTGCCCCGGCACCAACGGAGCCGTCTGCCTCCCCGCGGCTGGCTTCGCGGCGCCCCCCTCGGTTCCTGCGGGTCTTGGGCCCCCCTGCCTGGAGAACTCTGCTGCTGCAGCCGTCCGCGCCGCTGTTCGAGGAGGGGACCTCGACTGCAGAACTGATGCACCCCGGAACTGCACCTTCGCCGAAGCCATGAAGCGTGCGGCGTCTCTCTCTTCTGGACTGGGACACCGAGTCTGGGGCAAACCACTTCTGCCGTCGCTCCGAGGAGGAGGAGGAGGAGGAGGAGGAGGAGGAGGAGGAGGAGCCTGCTCGAGCTGTGCACTCCTCCCGGCGCCCCCTCGGGGCCCGGCCCCGCCCCCGGCCCCCCTCTCGGGCCCTGCCCCCGTGCCCGACGCGGCGCTGGCCGCCGCACGTGGCGCTCCCGCCCTCTGGCCCCCCGGGGCCCCCGTGATGGCGCGGAGGCGCCCCGTGACCCTCTGGGAGGGTTACCTACGTAAGTCAGGAGGGCAAACGCACGAACAGGGAGAAGGGACCTTCCCTGCAGGTGCATCCTCCGACCAAGCCCTCCCAGCTCCATGATCTCTGGTGCGAAGACGCCTCCCTCGTGCCATTCGGGCTCGGGGCTCCCTGTTCTCGATGGCCCCTCCTGGAGAGCCCACCCGGAAGTTCCGCCCACCCAGCGCCGCTTCGGCGGGCTCGCTCCACCACGGCCTCTCCGCGACGGTGCCTACGACACCGCCCGCCCCACCCTGGGCCGGCGTTGGCAGAACTGGGTTTGGTGGAACCTGGTTTAGTGATGTGTACTGGGGAGCGCCCCCCCCCCGCCCCGTTCCGCTAACCGGAACTGCCGTCACCCGAAAAACACCAGTTACGGCAAACCTGGTTTAGTGAATCTGGCCAATTGAGGGGCCCCAGGGCCCTACCACTAACCGGGTCCCCTTACCCGACCCTGCGCTGGCGCCCCTGCCCCGACGATACCTCCGGCGCTGCCCCCGACGACGCCCCCGACGCCGTTCCCGCCCTGGGTCGCCGCCGCCCCCCCCCAGCGCTGTGTTCCCTGCCCGTGGTGGCGCCCCCTCCCCGAGCGCTGCCCGCGGCGCCGCCCCCGAGGCCGCGCCTCTGGCGCCGCTCTGCCCACGGGCGCCGCCACGCCCGAGGCCCCGCCCCCGAGCCCGCCCTCCCACCCCGCCTCGGAAGCCTC